ATTTAATTGTTTTTGACAAACAAAAAGTTCATTTTCGTTTCATGATTATTAAAAATTTTAAAAAATATTGATTGTTAAAATTAGTTAATAAAGGAGTCATTAAATATTTATTACCAGTGTTAAATTGTGTAACTATTTTTCATTTTAAACCAATTTGTAAGCAAATATTTATATTTAACAATAATACTTGTTTATTTAACTTGTATTTAATAATATTTGATAAATAAAAAAAGTTTTTTTGTGGTCAATAATGTCGTTTGCAAAACAAATTTTGCACTCTAATATTGTTTTTTGTTTGTTCAAATTTAATTTTGTTTTTAAAACTGAGTTATAAAAACTTTTAATTGTGTAAAAATAAAGTAGGTTAAAACAAACAATTAATTTGTTATTCTAACTTTATTCAATAATTTTTGTAAAATTGAAATGTTTTTTGTGCAAATATTAAAAGTTTTTGTCAATAGTAATATTAGATTTAAACCAGGTTTACTTCAAATTATGTAATTTGTACAAACAAAAAAATATATAAATTAGATCTTGAAATATTGCTAACTTTATTTTGCTAAAAATTGTGTAACCATGTTTAGCTACATTTTTAAATTAATTCAATGCATACTTAACAGCTTTAGAACTCATTTGAGCGTTTTTTATTTTGATTTAGATCCAATAAAAGATGTAAATTCTGTTGCTAATATAAACTACATCACGCCTCAATCTCAGTTAAAAAATTATGGCATTTTTCCTATTAAATTTAACATTCATTATTTAACTCCTTTTCTCCTTATGTTTGCCATTGACATAGACAGTCTCTACGTCATTTTTATTCAATATGGCAAATACAATGACACTGGAATGCCAGAATTGTTTACTCACAAAATTACCCCAATGGGCTTTTGGGACCTTTCCGACATAATCATTAACACTGGCATTGCAATGGAAATGTTTATTTACATTAACCTGAGCATCAAACCACAGGTAGCGCCTAATTTGATAATGTACGTAGTGCACGATGCTAAAAGCAAAAAATCGCGCATCTACTACAATAAAAAATGTATGTATTTGTGGTAACAAAATGTTTACTAATATAAATTGTAAATAGTTTGGAACCAGCAAAAATCCGATAAAATGATACAGTTTCGCATCCGAGCTCGAAATTTTTTTAAAATTTTAATGACTACAGTTACCGCTCAGTTGACTGGATACTTTATAGTGCAGCACTTTATGAAAGGCAATTATTTCAACTTAAAAAATTTTATACTTAACTTTTATCTTCCTTTCTTTGGTTTTTATTCTTCTTATGGTAAGTTTCTATGATTACAAAAGTTTGCAACAGTTACAATGCAGTGACATTTTTAATTTAATTTTAGCTGACATGTACGTGGCTTTTTATTTCTTTTTGGTTGCACGCTATTTTCGCATTAAACAACAGTTTAAAATTGACAAAATTAGTCGTCTTATGGATGAGTTAATTAAATGCAAAACAAATAAAAAAATCATCAGTACAGATATAATTTGGAGTAAATTTTGCATTATCAATCAGAAAATATTAGTTCTTTTTAATGAACTAAAAGGATTCAGTCAGTTTTGGAGTCCTTATCTAACTAATTATGTTGTAAGTTACATTATCATGATATGCTACATGGGCTACGCATTTCTTTTTGGTCGTGCAGATGGTTACTGGCGCAAAAGTTTTTATATTTTTTTCTCTATTGAGTTTTTTCTCATGATTCTTTTAATCACCTACGAATGTGCGGTCATCGTTTATCGAAATGTAAAAATTTACAAAATTAATCGTCGTTTTGCCTATCTTTACTCGGAGACAGCCACCCCTCCAACAACTAAACTGTTGCGTGTAAAACTAGTTTTTTATGAAGGTTTTCTTTGTTTTACTTTAAAAATTTTTATTCGTAGTTAAGCAAAATGATAAGCAATTATCGAGGAACTCGAAATGGTTTCCGTTTTATAAATAATGGAATAATAGACTCAAGAATGTTTGAAATTGTAAGTTTCAACCTAAAGTTATGAATTATTTAATATTTATGTCTTTTTTCAGCTGTTTTTTTCGCTTTCAATATTGTTTATGAAAATTTTTAACAAAAAAAACTACAATAAAGCATATGTCGGATAATTATGGATGATTTATTATGCTTATATTTTAAAAATTGTCAACTAACTTTGACATTGTTGGAATTTTATTTTTTGTTATTAGTCATTAGATAGTTGACGCTCTAGGTACATGCGGCAATTTAAAATCAATAAAATTTAAAACATTTGTGCGTTTTCATTTTTTGAAACAACAACCAATATTTATAATTTTAAGTTATGTTTTTAAATTGATTTTTAATTAAAAATGACTTTTAGTTTAAGTATGAAACAAATCAGTAATCAAGTAAATATTAAAAAATTACTCACATCTACAATAGAAGATGTCATATTTAAAAAAAATGTTTGGTTTGCTAAAACCAAAATAGCAATACATATTCTACGAATTATTCAAGCCGCAGTAGTCAGTCTTGTTCCAATGTCACATCTTTGCCGTGTTTTGATTTTTGATTATATGCGTTATTATAAACTGCCTAATGAGTTTAATATAGTAGCCATATCAACAATTTCAATTGCTGCGTACTTTACTAAAGTGCTGCATTTTCAAGCTGAAAAAAACAAATTTATCACGCTCCCCTATTTCATCTGGGTTAAACAAAACTTTTATGCAATGAAAATATTTGATAAACATCAAAATGCTCAAATTTTAAAAATAGTTAATAAAACTTCTAATTTATTTATAAAAATGATAAAAATGTTTTATTTTTCTTTTGGTAAGTTTTCAATTTGGTTTTAAATTCAACCATTAATGATAATTGTGTGCATTTAGATATTTTTGTTGTAACTGCATTTGTAATGCTTTTTGCAAACTTGTACATTTATTCAGATTTTCTTTTAGACATCTACAGATGTCACAGACTTTTACTTTTGTTATTTAATTTTGTTGTTCTAACTTATTCACTTTTTATTTGTTTTCAAATCATTTCTATAACTACATTTCTTTGCACCATTTGCATAATTATTTTGTTATTCCAACTGTCTCATTCCAACCAACTACTTTATTCTAAAAAAGTCAAATTTGAATCTTTTTTCAACTATCATACTCAAATTCTTTGCTCAACAGTTGAAACTGATAAAATTTTAGGTAAACTTGTCTTTTCATTAATCATCATCAATGCTCCCTGTTCGGCATTGGTGATAATGCTCATCATTGACGGTCGCATTCCCACTCTTTTTTTGCCACTGTTTGTAAGTTTATTATTATCTCAATTTTTAGCAATTTTTGGAATTCATTTAGTGTCAAGTATGATTTGCAAAAAGATTCATAAAAGCACAAATCAGTTGATTTATTTAAATGTTTCCCAACCATGGAGCTTACAAATTCATCTAAAACTTGCGCACTACATTTCAAAATTTAACACAGTTAACCCTTACGGTTATACTTATAACTCAATAAAAATTATAACTTTAGATGACTTTGTAAAGGTAACTTTGACTCAGATTGGGCTTTTAAAAATAAATAAGCAAATGTTTTTTTCAGTTTTTATTTTTCTTTTGTCAATTGCTGCTTTATGTATATCAGTTGTTGCATTATTTTTATATTTAAAATAAACTTTTCATTTATTTGTTAGAGAATTAACAATTTAAATGTGTTTTTGTGCATAAAAAACAATGCGGGAAGCTAAAACAAAAATTGAACGGGTATATAAAAAGTTGACACATGTCATTACCATCATTACCAATTGCTTTACTTTTTGGATTGTACATTTTTGCACTTTGTTCAACGCAACAAAATTTTGCTAAGAACAAATGGCTTCGTTGGCAAGTCAACTGTTGACAGTGGCGGTGCTGTCCCTTCAGCGGCAAATTTACCATAATCGAGGCATGAACAGAGCCTCATGGAATCCGTCCTATGACTTTATCGTTGTAGGAGGAGGCACATCTGGATCGATTGTCGCCGGTCGATTATCAGAGAATCCCAACTTTACCGTACTTCTCTTGGAGGCAGGAGGACCTGTTTCACTCACCAGCGACATGGTGCCGACGTTTTACTTCTTTGACAATGAATGGGGATACTACACGGTGCCCCAACGGCGTTCAGGTTTGCCTTTTTGCCAGCTTGTGTTGAGTTTTACTAGGTTTTTTCGCATTGTTTTCATTTAGCTTTTGGACTGCGTGATCAACGAGTGCCGGTCCCTAGAGGAAAAATTCTCGGCGGTTCTCACGCCGTCAACTTTGCCTCCTACACTCGAGGCAACCGACGCGACTTTGACAACTGGGCGTACACACACGGCGCCAGAGGATGGAGCTACCAGGAGATTTTGCCCTCGTACCTTCGCTCGGAAAACAACACCGACCCGACGGTGGTGGCCGCCAACCCGATGTTCCACTCGACGACCGGCCCAGTGGAGGTGTCCACACTGCCCGATCGTGACCCCATTCTCAACCGTTGGCTACAGGGCGTCTCACAGTTGGGAGTACCGCTGACTGACTTCTCCAATCTGGTGAACCAGTACGGGTCATCGGTGCTGCAGACGACGCAGTCAAAGACCAACTGGACTAGGCAGACGACCGCATCGGCCTTTCTAGAGGTGAACATTGCCCGGCCCAATTTGCACGTTCTCGTCAACTCTCACGTCACAAGGGTGCTCTTCAGTGGCAACAATCAGCAGTCAATGATGGGCGGCGCAGCTGCGCCCACTGCAACCGGCATTGAGTTTGTGCGCAACAATCAGACGTATCAGGTGATGGCCAACAGAGAGGTGATTCTCTCAGCGGGCTCAATCAACAGTCCGCAGATTCTCATGACTTCAGGCGTTGGCCACCGAGACCATCTTAGCTCGCTGGGCATTTCCGTAGTGGCCGATCTGCCCGTCGGCGACAACCTCTACGAGCACCTGGCCATTCCATTTGACTTTTGGGTGACCAATGCTTCGGATATAACGCTGTCTAGAAACCTGAACACCATACTAACGGTGCAAAATCTCTACCAGTTTTTGAAGCTTTCCCAGGGACCACTGACACGAATGCCCATGACAGAGACGTACATTGGCACTGGCATCAACGGCGACAATGACTGGCCTGATGTGAACCAGTACCTGCTCATTAATCAGATTGGTTAGTATTTGTTTGCTCTTATTGAAACACTGCCTAAACTGAACATTTGCAGGCAATGTCGACTCAATGCTTGACGTCTACAGTCAGTCAAATCGAGAAGAGTGGCGCAGCTATCTGACTCAGTTTGAAAATGACAATCGCCACGTGTGGATCGCCTATTGTTTGTTTCGGCCTCGAACTCGTGGCACAGTGCGCCTAGCCTCTGCGAACCCCTTTGTGGCACCGCTGATTGATCCGAACTACTTTGGCGACCAGCAGGATCTGGCGGCGTTGGTCAAGGGCATGGTCACCGGTTTTCAGTACGTTGAATCGCCCTACCTGGCCCCTTACTTTCGCTACTCTGCTCTGCCTAACCCAGGCTGCTCGCTGTGCCCGGGGCGCACTCTGAGCCAGTGTCCCAGCTACCTGGCCTGTGTGGCGCAGACGTACACGTACACCACCTACCACCCGGTGGGCACCTGCAAGATGGGCAATGCCAGCAGTACTGATGCCGTCGTTGACGAGCGCCTTAGGGTGCGCGGCGTTCGCAACCTCAGGGTTATTGACTCCAGCATTATGCCGGTGATTACCAATGCAAATACTAATGCACCCTCGATGATGATCGGGGAGAGGGGTGCTGAGCTAGTGCGGCAGGACTATGGACTTTTTACCGGGTAGCCGCCTACTATTTGTATGGGTAATGTTGCTCAATTGTCAATTAAAATTGATTTAAACAATGTCAATTGAAACAATTTATTTGGAGTTTTGATGGAAACTCGGCAAAAATACCTGTTTGAACAATTTAAACAAAAAAGATTTCAGAAGAAAAGTAGTGTTGCATTCCAAAACTTTTTCAGCAATTGATTAGCAGTTTTTTCTGCGAAATGTTAAGTTCAGGTAATTAGTTGTTTTTTAAAGTTTGTTTTCAACTCTAAACTTTAAAACTTAGGTGTTGAGGTTAGAAATTTTTCAAGTTTTTTAGCAGTCAGTTAAAACTGTTTTTAATTTCATTAAAATTTGAAATTTTAATGTTGTACAAGACTTTTCAATTGAAAATTAAAAATGTTGAAATTAAACGCGTTTCTCTGGAGTTGTTACATTTTCAATATTTTGTTTTTGAATTGGTTAGTAATTTTCCGCAAAAATTCATTTGTTTACAAGTTTTTCTATTCAAGCATTAAACACATAATTAATAAACAAAAAAATNAGTTAGAAATTTTTTAAGTTTTTTAGCAGTCAGTTTAAAACTGTTTTTAATTTCATTAAAATTTGAAATTTTAATGTTGTACAAGACTTTTCAATTGAAAATTAAAAATGTTGAAATTAAACGCGTTTCTCTGGAGTTGTTACATTTTCAATATTTTGTTTTTGAATTGGTTAGTAATTTTCCGCAAAAATTCATTTGTTTACAAGTTTTTCTATTCAAGCATTAAACACATAATTAATAAACAAAAAAATCCCAAGTACACAATTCTTCATTTGTTTAACGAATTTTTGTACTTGTTTTTTACTATCCGATTTATAAAAATTTGGATTTATATGGCAAACCCAAACTTATATTCAGATTACGACTTTTTTAATATTATGTTTCAAGTTTTTAGTGATGAAAAAGATTACTTTTTTGTTTGCATCTTTGTGTTTTTGTTTTTATTTTGTTTTCTCATTGAACCACTACTTTACTTTACACCTGTAAACACAATCACATTTTTAAAGTATTCAGATTTAGTTGTTGATAATTATGATCTATACAAAAAATACTCAAGTGCTGGCAATTTTTCTGTCTTGCAAAAGGAAACATTTGTTGATAAAAATTTAAAATTGTTCAAATTTTATTCGTTTGAAATTGATCAAACTGTTTTTTGTTTTTCAAAACTTAAACACTTTCCCAATTTATCATTCAATTTGCGCGTCCGTTTTGTTAAGTTGTTGGTTTTAATTGAAAAACTTTGCATGATTACAATTATTGGAGTTTGTAAGTTTTTATTTACATTGAACAAAGCATATTTTAATTAAACATTATTTAGGTTTTGTGACCAATATTTTGATATGCTACTACAGCTACCGAGTATACCATTTGTTTTCCGTGTGGACTCAGCCCATCCTTTGCTTTGATGGTTTTCTCTTTTGCTACTGCATCGTCCGCCTGGCTACCATTGGTTTACTGTTGCTCTGCTGTGCCTGCTTTTGCTCTCTTCTCTACATTGGTCACATTAGCGATTGCAATCGAATACTGGCCGAGTTGGCAGCCAGTGCTGTCAAAAAGATTAACTGGACTCACGCCATAAAATTGAACTTTTTTCTTCGAGAGCACGTTTTTATTTCCACTCTTATAAAAACGGTGAATCGAGAATTGTGGGCCAAAGTGCTTTTTATTTCGCTTGCCGTTCACTTGCCCATCAACGTGTACCTTGTGCATCGTCTGCGCGAAGCGGTGCACATTTTAAACATTGAGGCACTGGTCTCCTGGTTTATTTTGCTCATTCAGATTAGCATCCTCACTGCGTCAATACTTCTGCTGGCCCACTCCAGCAAGGTACTGCACCAGTCTGCCACTTTGTTGCCCAAAATTCAACAGCGTATTCCAGCCAAGTTTCTGCACTACAAGCTAAAGTACAGTGAACTGTACGAGCGCATCAACAATGACACACATCAGTACGGCATTACCATTGGCCCAACCAGAACCATCACCTACGAAATGGTTTTTGAGATTTTTCTCTTTTACATTGCTTTCACCTTTAAAGTACTCGATTTTTTTCTTTAAGCAGATAAGCTGTCAATTTATTAACTGGTATTATCAAATAAACAATGAAATCACATTAAACAATAAATAATACAATTGTGTGAGAAAAAGAAAAGGTACATGTGAATACAATTTTAAACTTTGTTGGCGAAACTGCCCGTAAAAATGAAACGCAATACCAACACAGAAAGCATGCTAGAGAAGGCGACACAGATGCCAAAAGCCCAGTCAATGAGAGTGTTGAGGAAGGTGGTGTTGCCTCCAAATGTGTGATCGCCGTCCTTTTCAATCTTGGCCCTGACTGTCTCGTAACTTGGCTTTTTCAAGTCATACGCCTGACCAATTTTGGCAAAAAAGTCAATTATCGCAGTGCTCATGTTGAAATTGTTTTCAAATCCAAACTCTGAAGCCGAGTAGTCGTAGGGAAAAGCATGGTGGTAGTTGTGATAGCCTGAAAGGGAGGGGTAAGTTTAAAACAAAGAGCCATTTTAAACAAGAATGCTTACCTTCTCCGAAAGACAAGTATGTGACCGCCTTGTTTTCTCGCGGATTAATCTTGACATTGTACGGTCGGTTGCCGAAAATGTGAGCAGCCGAGTTTACGTTCCACGTACCATTGAGCACAAACACGTAACGGAAGATGACATTAAAGAGAAAGGAGTTTAGTGGTCGCTCATTGAACAGGTAGACGCCCAGGTAGGTGGGGATCAGGCCCCAGCAGATGAGTCCCAGCACGAGGTAGTACCGACGCTGAAAGGCGACAATGGGGTCGTTCAGCACATCAGACAGGTCAATTTTGCTGCCCTTTTCAGTGACGGCAGGGTGCTTTTTCACCATCAGCCAACCGCAATGGGCAAAGAAGAAGCCCCGGTTAGCATTGTGAGGATCAGCATTAGTTTCGGAAAACTTGTGGTGAACACGGTGATCACGGCACCAGTCGTAAATGTCCGTCTCCAGAGCGCAGGTGTTGCAGAAGGCGAGAATGAGTCTGCAAAGAGGAGAGTTTACAAACACAGTGAAAACAAACACAATTCAGAAAAGCAAACCTCAGTGGCCACTTTGCTTTGAATGCTCGATGAGCCCACAGACGATGTGCCCCAATGGTGACTCCAATTGCAGAGAAGAATCCAAAGAGAGAAGACACAAAAATGTTTTGCCACTTGATTTCACCAATGGCAAAGAGATACATTGAGTAGAGTGCAGCCACGTGAAGTCCACCGATGATGAAGACGTTGCTCCAGATGACTTCATTCCAGGCAAAGGTGTGAGTCACCTCGTTGACGACTGCGTTCGCGTTGGCGTCCACCTCGGTCTGCAGCTTTTTCATCTCTTCATTTGCAATCAGTTCTTTGTCACTCAGATACACTCGATCAACACCGTTTGCCCGTTGTGTCAGTTGATGCGCAGCTACAGGTGCCATGATTGTAAAGTTTTGCTAGAACGTAGGGAGACTGTCAAGCTTCCTCAGTGCAGACCCTTGGCTCAACTACTGGACTTGCTTTCACTTTTATATAAGACGCGAAAAATCGGGAAATCAAATTGCACCCAAAAAGAACACCTAGAATAAAAACTTGCATTCCCCATTTTTTAATTTGAATGATTCATCTTCTAGAAAAAAGTATTGCAAAGCTCAACTCTGTTTGACTACCACCTAGAGGAGGGGCTCCAGTTGTGGCTGAGGGGTAAATTACCGGCAGCCGAATTCGCCATTTGTTTTCATAAAAATCAAATGCTTTTCTCTGAAATAGAAGGCTACCACAACAAGACGTGCCATGGCTTTGATACTCTGGTGCTTTGTAATGAGATGCAAACACGGAGGGAGACAGTCAGCACCTGATGACCGCCACTGACAATTCACAAAATCTGTCCTCCAAGTATTAGCGACAGTTAATGACGTGTCAAGTGACTGTGCTTTCCGCCCAGTGAATTCCCGTTTAATTAGTAAATCAACAAGTATGAGGGTTTGATTCAACTGACAGCCATCGCTTTAAGTCGATAGTGTCACCTAGAGGTGTACCGTAGTCACTGCTGGCACTTCACAGTAGCTCCAAACAGGTTTGCGAATGGTCTGGGAATTTTAAACTACCGCTTTCTCTCCTCAAAAGGCATATTGTTAATGTCATGCAAAGAAAGTAAAATTAATGTACGTCAAGAATAAATTTAAAAGTTGATTCAAACGGTAACGCACTTAAAACGACAATGATTCGGTTTTATTGAAGCAAATTTTAAAAATTATATTTTTATTCCTACTGTTTTTAGCATAGCAAAGTTGACGTCATCAGAGTTAAAACTTTAAACTTGATCAAATGCGGTAAATAACTGTACTATAATGTTATTTCCCGACAAGTAAATGTAGTAGTTAATATTTTAAATTATTTTGACTAAATTAAAGTTTATAAAATTAGAAATGCAAGGATACAAGCAGTGCAGCATTTCCATATGCTAATTTATTGTTTTATAATTTGCATTTAAACATTAATGTTTAATGAAAATAATTTTTAAGATTTATAAAAATAACAATATTATCAAATATAAAAAACTTTAGTGCAAAAGAAGTTTGTTGTTAAGTTAAAAGTTCAATTAATTTGGTTTAAAAATTACCTAAAAAGTAAAATACTTGTCAAAACATTAATTATTTAATAGGCTGTTTTCAAGTGAACTCTGCAAACTATAATCAATTATTTTTCATAATAAACTTGATTGCAAAACACTATATTAACTAGTTCTTAGAAATATCAAAAAAACATTTTTACAAATGCCTACAGTTAAAAAATTATTATCGTTTTATAAAAACTTTTTGGTTTTGATAATTTTGAGTACAAATGCATAATGAAAAAATTGGTAAAATTTTAAGCAAAATTTATTTAAAAATGAAAAAGTTTATTATTAATGAAATTTTGATTCCAATTGTTCCATTTAAAAGCATGAAATATATTGAAAAATACTTTAAAACTATTGAGTTGATATCGCAAAAAAAATCATTATTGAAATACCGATTTTGGCTTGTTTACTTTATTTTAAAACAGTTTAACTTTATTATAATTCAGAACATATCTGAAACTGAACTGAAAAATTTACTGTTTCTCAACTATTTTTCAATGTTTAAAATTCCAAATGGCTACATTTATCTGTCTGCCTACATAATATTTCAATGTTTTTACTACTACCGGTTTATGCATTTGAAAGCTTACAAAAAAGGTCTAACCAAGTACTCGCATGAAATTTTAATACTAAACAACAATAAATTATTTTTGAAGCCAACATTTTACCGTAAACCAATTTGCCAAACAATTGTTACTTTTGGCTTGCTTGTACTGAATGCTGGTCAAGTTACAATATTAATTACAGGTAAAACTTTTCATTTGTCTAACTGTCTATAAACCTGTTTACACTTCAGACATTTTACTTGTATACGTGCAGTATCAAGTGTTGCCAACAATATACAAGTTTAGATCACATTTATTTGGTTCATATTTGGGTTTTGTTGCTTTTTTGCAGTTGGAAATCAACATAATTGTTTCCAATTTTTTCCTGATAGAGTGCATCAATACTGGCCTTTTGTTGCTATTATTCATTTTCACTTGCACTGTAATGGTGTTCATTCAGCTGTATCAAGCGGAGAAACTGCTAATAAAAAGCACTAAATTGCTACAAAATGTCTCCTCACAATACACTTCAAGAGTGCTAACAAAAACGCAAATCAGTTTTGAGCTTCACAAATTTTTCCATTTTCACACCTGTTGTCTCATTGAGGTGTGCGACATAAATCAAATGTTCGGACACTTTTTGTTGCAGTTTCTACTGTTGAATTCCCCCGTGAATGCTTTCATGATTTGTTCAATCGTCTACGGACAGGTTCAATACTCTCAGTTGTCATTCGTACTGACGGTCATTTTGGTGCAGCTCTTTGGTAACTTTATCATTCACTGGCTGGCTATACTGGCCAGCACTCAACTGCACAAGCCAGCTAGACTGCTGGTCACACTGTACCTCAATATGTTCAAGTACGACCAAAACTGCTTCACCAATGTGAGGTTGCAAATGAAACTCAATAGTTACATTTGCAAGTTTCTAACGAGAAAACGGTACGGCATCACCTACGGAGCACTGAGACACTTGGTCACTTTTAAGTCCTTCACTCGTGTGAGCATGCAGTTCTTAAAAGCTTGAAGTAACCTGACTAATTTGTACTTTAGTTTGCGTTTTTCTACATAAAGACTATCGTATTTTTTATGAGGTTGCACAGAAAAATGAAATGACATTTTTACCTACACCTGTAAGTAAACACAAACCAGTGGCTGTTTTTCTAAATCGTGTCCGAAATTCAAATGCGTTCAGATTCGTGCCGACAGAACGTGACAAAAAAGTACGCTAAATGGCAAACGGAACCACCATTCAGGGAGCAAACACCGCCGTACTAAACGATGCTGTCAATAACACAAACTGCAACCACAGCACTGCCCAGACAGTGTCACAGATTACACGAGCACCGCCGCAAATTGGCACCTTCATTTGTACACTGTCAATCATCCGCCGAACATTGAACAGCTTTCCTGTGAATAGCAAATGGCGTCCACCACCAGCAATCCCTACTTTGGCTTCCTCACCGTCCTCCTCCTGACGGCCCCCTTCCTACTGCTCAGCCTGGGTACAGTGGTGCCCGTGGCGGAGGCCGGTCCACTGGACTACAACATGATGAACTGCTTCGACTTTGCCCGTCACATGGGCGGCACTGTGCCCAGTCGCTTTGGCGTCTTTGGCGCTGATGCAGCCGCGGGCGCAGGAGCCGCCGGAGCTGCCGCCTCTGCCGCCGCCGCTGGAGCGGCCGGCGCCGTGGTGGCCAAGCGCCAGCTGTCCTCCCTGCTGCCCTCCTCCATGACCGATGTCTTCTCGACGGTGTCGAACCTAGGCAACCAGAACGTGGCCAACTGCCAGTCGGCGGAGCGGCACGCCGCCTGCGTCTCCATTGACCAATTTCTGGAGTCAAACTTTCCCGGGTGGTTCTTCGAGTACCAGGTGACCAACAACGTGAATCACGTCGTCAGCCAGATGACGCAACATCGATATCACGCCCTCTTTGAGGCCGCCATGAAGGCGTACAAGTGCTTTTGTGTTTGCTAAAACTTGACGCCACGCAAGCGGCATTGCCTTTCCTAGCGAGTTGTTTGTAACTTTCACTTGTCTTGAGTAATAAATAGAGTTTACTTGTCCGGCTTTTTTTCACGAATCGCCCTCAACATCAAAGTAGTCTACATGCAAAAAGATGCGTGAAAACTTGAGAATCTTCAAGTTGTGTCCGTAAAGCGAAATGTGCCGATAACCTGAAAAAAATTGATCAGGTTTAAAACAGCACATTTAATTTGTTACCTTTTTTCATAACGGGAAACATGATCGAGTAGTGGCCGACAAACGAGTTTTTGTTTGACAGTATAAACTGCACAAACGACAACTCGGGGTTCTTGAGTTTGAAGAGAAACTCTTCGTTCCAAATGGGGTCCAAGTCTGCAAAAAGAGGTAATATTAGACCTACTGAAAATTAGAATGCCCTACTATGCCATTCTGACCATTCTTTTCCACGCACCGGGTACTCTTGCGCCATTTGTCTGCCGTACTGTAAATTCGAATAGTCACCTTTAGACTGGTCTCCTTCTTTTGCTGAAAGAGCCTCCAAAACTGCCCACAGAGGACCTTTATCTTCAGTATCACCTTACTCCGGTTCTGTCGCTCTCCTTTTTGCGGACGAAGAAGGTACCTCGGTTTGAGCACGTAGCCGCAGTTGCCGTTTTGATTGAAAAAGGCGAAATTGGCCAACATTGGCATGGACACTTGTTGGTAGTTGAGGGCGACCATCTGGGCGCCGGCGTTCCAGTGCTCGGTAGGAATGTAGTTGCTAGAGTCCTGCCGCCAGGCGTGCGGATAGACGCGCACCATGTGTGTGGTGCTAAACTGGCGGTACTCAAAGAGGTGCTCTCTGATTAGCTGCTTCGATGCCAGCTCGTTCCGGGAGATCATTTCATTGAAGTGAACTACTCAAGAAAAGAGATTATTTCAAGCTGAAAAATGTTTTGTCCACTTACAGTTTTCCATGCAGTCGTCCATTGAGAGGAACTTTCGTGGTCTAAAATAGTTGATCAACTTGGAAAACTTGGCGTTGGTGTTCATTTCCTACATAGTGATAAGCAAAAAATTAAACGGATTTTAAAAAAATCTCGCCAAAAAACTCAACAACTTACAAAAGAAAATGAGCATTTCGAAAAGATTTCCTCAATGGAAACAATTTCCTCGGAATTGTATCGCTGCAAGTTGACCATCAACAAGCTCTCTGGTCGATTTATTTGGTGAGGATCGATCAGCCGTTTGCTTCTCTTCTTTCTGTGTGACCTTCTTTGCATTTTAAGCTTTTCTTCATGTTTAAAGTCT